AAACTTGGAAAATTATTTTTACAATAGAAATGAATAGAGTCACAGTGCACAATTTCAACTCTCATAACTAAGAAATTTTTATAGATATAGTTTTTTTTTAACATTTGATTCTAGACTATTGAAACTGATCAAAACAAAAATTAAATTAAATTAGAATTACAAGGCATGCATTGTGTTTTTCTAACTTTTTCAACTGATTCCTATTTATTTTTGGGTGCTAAAGTCGGAAAAACTAGTGAAAAAATTCCCTCACGTATCAATTTTTCACTCATTAGTCACGTGGGTGCACTTTATTCTCAGCTCAGCTCAGATCAGTGTAAAAAACACAAGCAAAATACTGTCACTTCAAGACATAAAAACCAAGAGACAACGTTTGAAAATAAATATGCAAAGTTAAAAAAACGTCACCACAAACAATAGTTAATTAAAAGTTAACATTAGTAAAAAACTATTGCTTTCTATTCCGTCTTTAGGCATTTTTTTGTTCATGTCAAGTTTCAAACATTTTTTTGTAAAATGTACAAATAAATAAATTTGCTATATTTTGTCGTTTTCTTTAATTTTCTCTATCGAAAAATTCTTACATACCCAATAAGGAAAAACCGTTTTGTTTTTTAAAATCAGCACCAGAAAATACATAAAATCAGTAATAAAACCTTAGAAAACATTCAAAAATTTAAAATTCGTTTTATTCAAATCTTTGAATAGTGAATCATTATCTAATAATAATAACTTTATTTGACGGTAATAACCTAATAACTTTTACATTAAATAACTAATAAATTATAATACGAAACAAATAACATATAAATAATGAAAAAAGACTTAAACGATTTACCCAAAGACACATTCTGGAAACGCTTCAAGCTATCAAGAGATTTAAAATTAAAAAAGTCCCACCTCACATATTGCAAATTCTCAGTAGATTGTTTATAGGAGAATTAAAAAGATAGTTATTATTAATTAATTAATTTAAATTAATAAATTTGCAATCATTAGAAAATAGCTGACTAGAAATACTAGATATTTTTTAAAGAATGAGGTGAAAAAAATGCGTTCAGTTTAAATTTATTATATTGAAAAAGAAATTATTATTAGGTACAACTTCGGTTTTGTTTAAAAAAAAAAGATTTTTTATTAAATCAACGGTTTTTAAATAGAGTCCGTTTCGGTTTCTATG